AATGTTATTTCTCCTCTGGATTACATGCTAATGTACAGAGGGCAAAGGGAGACAGCAAAAGAACACATAGCTGCTTATTTCATCCATTTGTGGGGGTGAGCTTTGGGAAATCATGGCAGTTCCGCAGCTATCTCGTGCCCATCTGCAAACACAATGTATTTGTACGTTGGGAATAGAGGGCAAAGCTGCTCTGATCTCAGCAGAGCATCTCTTCTTTTGTCCTAGTGGCACACATTGAGATTGATGCGAGATTAAGGACCATCACCCTCCTAACAATCGATGGAAATGACAATTCATCTGAATTTTTTGTCAGTTCTTCTCACGTTGATTACCTGGACGTGTGTACCTCATTTATAGACGCTTTATTAAAACAAAATTGTCTGTGTCACTTCCACCTCTTCCACTGGTTTTTGCAAAAGTCAGATAATCCTGCAGCCAAAGTAACTTCATTTCCTTACCTCTTAATCAGCTGGATGACAAACCTAACCGGGTTGCTTTCTGTAGGTGTTAGTTTATACAAGAGGTTCTGCATTGTCGGATCTATGCTGAACCTATTGTTTTGGGTAGTAGTCTGATTTGTCCCCGTGATAAGCCCTGTGGAGATGTGATTATTCCAATAAAAATTCATTGGGTTGGAAACCAACCCTCCAGCTGTTTACTCCCACAGTCCCCGAGCTGCACTAACGCCGCGTGGAATCCTTGAGCAATATTTAACGGGGGAATCGAAAGCATCTTTCAAACATTTCACTTTAGGCTCTGCAAACATCATCCCTAACCTCAACAATAGATTCCTAGCATCCGTGAGGGAATGGCCTGACACTCAGGCAACTTTGAGCTTTGGCTGCTGTGTTCATCTCTGTGGATTTTGGGGAAACTCTCCCCTGCCTGAAGAACACAGGAAGGTTTGCAGCGTCGGTGTGCGCGCTCTCTGTACTGCACGTCACACAAGCTATGCAATTCTCCAAGTTTCTGGAAAATAAAAGTAAAAAGCCTTATACTGGCATGCTAAAGCCAGCTCTGGCACGTAGAATGTGTGCATCGGTTTGCAATTTTAGCTGCTTCAACGTTGGGCAGCCCAGAGACACTGTAAATCTATTACATATGTTCTCTTCCGGGAAGGGGGGGGAAAAAAAAAAAAACAAAAAAAGAGTTTTGCTTTTTAAGGAAGAGCTGCGCTCTTCACTTTATTTATTTTAATCTCCTAGGCTTGAAAAGCAAATAATTTGCACTCCTGCTCTTTTCTGGTTTGAAAACTGTTGCTGTTCTCCCTCTTTGGCAGGTCCAGTTGCCCTAAGCACGCCAGCTCAGCTCGTGGCCCCCTCGGTAGTGGTGAAAGGCACTCTTTCCATCACTCTTTCTGAGCTCTACTTTGAGGTGGATGAAGAAGATCCCAGTTTTAAGAAAATCGACCCAAAGGTAAGAGATCGTTGACCCTGAGCTCTGAGAGATGATGACAAATTACCCAAGACCTTTAATTCTTCACTCGACTTCCTTAGCTCTGTTGGGCCGCCGCGTTCCTGCTTTAATAAGTTTGCGATTGACCGTGGATGTTACTGAAACTTGGGGCAGGTGACACCTCCTTTCCTGCTCCTTTTTTTCCCCCTCCCACAATTCGACCCTACTTGAATGTTAATTTGCTTGCTTGGGAATAAAGCTCCAGGGAGGCTTCTTAAATAAAGACATCTTGAATCACAGGCCTGTGTGAACGCTGGAAAAGTTCAAGGAGGCTTTTAGCCCAAATGCTTTGTTTTACTTTCCTATTTTATTTTTTTATCTGATGCCAGCGTAACGTAGCGCTAAACTTCCTCCACTCCCCAGTTTTCAGTGTTTCTGTGTTGTATTATTCCCTAACAGATTTTACAGGGCCTGTTATTATTTATTGTGCCCAAACAGAAAACATAATTGCCCTTTTAAAATCCCTTTCTGAACCGACTCGCAAATTTCCCCACAAACTTTATTTGCTCGGAGTTACTTGATTACTGGTGTTTGCTTTAAAATTAGTAACCTTCAGTAAAATCCCTATTTCCAAGGCGGTATATTGTGTGATTAGCTTAATGAGGTTGCACTTGAATGCTTTCTACAGCCTTACAGCCACATTTCAAAAGTATGACATGGTTGGTAAATAGTCTCCCATCCCAATTTAAGCACGGTGATAGCTCTTGCTTTGTTTTTTAAATATCTGCTGAACGTTAAACAAGGTAATAATGTCTTTGTGAGGGGGGGAAAAAGTCACTGGAAGGAGTAGTGGTTTTCTGCTTGTCTGGAGAGAATACCTTGTGTGTTAAGCACCAGTTCAGTTCTTTGTTCCTATTGAGTAAATTGCTCTTGTCTGTATTAAAAATGGCATCAGTGGGTCTGGAGGCTGGGATTATCAAATCCTATCAAGGAAGAAATTTATTTTAAAAACCAACACTCTCGGATTCTTAGAACGAGAATTTAATATAAACAATTAACTGGAATTGTGATACTTTTTTTTTTTTTTTTTATGTGATGCCATAAATGAGATTTAACTTTTCTTTTGGTCCTGAAGTATTTTTGCAATATTTTTGGAATTATTTCAAGCGTGAGATAGCTCTTAAAATTTTGAAATGCTTACTCCTTCCACGGTGTTTCTTTTAAAAGAGTTAGCGGGAAAAGAGATATAAATATAAAATGTAAACACGGTTCGATATGTTACTGTATTGCATTTTCCATTTGAAATGTTCTGCTCCGTTCATTGCATTAGCATGAGAAAAGTCGTACAGATCTGAATTATTCTGCTTCTTTTTTTGTTTTGTTTTCCCTGCTTAGCACATAAGAGGTTTGAGCACGGTTCCTAATTCTTACCATTCCTCTTACATCTTTTATGGGGACACTGGCATACAACGTATATTCAGCTTGCTTTCTTTTCTCCTGTTTCTGAGTTATCTGTTCTTAAACTGGGAGTAGCAGGCGTTCTGGTTTGGTTTGACTTGTATCTTTAATTCTGCATTTTATTTGAGTTCCTGTAAAAGGAGTTGAAATACAGGCTGCACCTTTTACCTTCTACGGTTCCTGTAAAAGGAGTTGGTTACGTGAAATACAGGCTGCACCTTTTACCTTCTACTGGGATGCTGCTTTAGCTGGAGGTCTTAAAAAAAACCAAAACAAAACACAGCCTTTTGTAATGTCTCTAGTCGGCGTGGGGAGGGTGCTAGAAATAAAATCGGAATATTTTTATTTTAAAAACCAAACAAGCTTCCTTCTAGTCTGCTCGCCAGGCGTTAACGCCTCCCTGCCCCACCCGCTGCACCTTGAGAGCGGGACCTGCTGCAGAAAATACCCCTTGGGGGGGAAAAAAAAATAAAATAATCATATCTTAATCCTCTGTAGCTCAGAAGAAGGCCCGTTTAATTAATGAGGCTTCATCTCTTTGATAAATTTTAAGCTCCTTGTATATTTGTCTAAACTACCGAAAAGAAAACACGATGACAAGTTCCCGAAGGCAAAACCTGCCGCGGCGATAAGATCAGAGTTTATACTCTCTAACTCCGGGGCTTGTTTCCCGAAGGAAAGGGTAGCCCCGGGGGCTCTAAAGCCCGTTTTGGCCAGGTGAGCCCGGGAGCGGGGCTCGGAGGGGCTCCGGGAGACACCGGGGGAGCTCCCGGGGCCGGTTCCCCCCCTCCCCGCCCCCGCCGGAGGCTCCTTCCCCGGGGCTGCTGCTGGGGCTGCTCCGTTCGGTTTTGAACTTAAAAAACCAAAAAGCAGCTCAAATTTGAATGGTTATTTCTTTTCCGGATCCGTCCGCAAAGAAACGGAAGTAATCCTTTGGGGCAAAAACTTCGATTTTTTTAAAATTAATTTTATTTTTAGCCGCCTCGAAAAGACACGAAAATTTGTCCGAATCTGGGAGCCGGCTTGGAAATCTTTCGGGCGGCTGGGGCGGATAAGGGGAAGGGTTTTAAAGCTTAAAAGGCGTTCCCGATAAAAAGAAAAAAGCAAAAACAACCCTGCAAATCCTTCTAAATCGTCCCGAGCAAACTTAAACTTAAACTTAACTCGCTACGGCTCCAAAATAGAAGGGATGGGGGGAGAAGGAGCGGGTGGTTCATGTAGGATGGGGGGGTCTTTCCTCCCGGGTCGCTTATCTGCTCCTCCGGCTACGCTCTGGGGCGATTTTCTGCTGTACTTAAAAAAAAAAAAACGGGGAAAACAAATGTTTGGGTTTTGGTTTTTTCTTTTTAAAAAAAAAAAAAATATCGAGCGTTTTGCTGTAAAGCGCATTAATTATTCAGGCTGGATCTATCCCTCCTTCGTGTCACAGTCAGAGGGAGAGCGCCTTCCTCCTGGGAAGCGACAGGCTATAGGGCTGAATTTATAAAACGAAATACAAGCGCTTGGTTTGCCAAAAATAAATTTAAAAAAAAAGAAAAGAAAAATATAAAGGAAAAAAAAAATAAAGATGAGGACCGTAGGGTAGGGAATCGGTTCTGTCTAAATTCTGGCGAGCTGCTGTGCGACGCTCCGCACATTCCCCAAAATTTAGAGGGGAAGTTTAAAGTCCCCGAAATAGGGCAGATGTTGTCACACGCCGAACGACAGAATAGACGAGGTTTTTTTTCTTAGTTTTTTTCTAGAAACTAGAGGGAAGTTTAGAAAACGTCAGGGAAAATGCCAGGCTAAGGTGTCGCGTTCAGCTTCGCTTTACATCTCACGTTTCCGTTTCTTTTAAAACGAATTAAAAAGAATCTACTTGCCTGAATTTAAGAACCATTCACGAAAAGTCAGCGTAAAGTTAAAGTAATATTTTTATTACTATTTGCAACAAGTCAGTTGTGGGGGCACATTATCTGACCTTGGCACCGAAATACATTTAACATCAGTAAAACTTTTTTGTCTTTTTTTCTTTTTTAAAGGGAAATTTGTACATATAGTTAAATAATTTTTTTTTTCACTTGGTGACAACATTCAGGCAAACGAGAGAGAGAGAAAGAATAAGAAAAGGACTATACACGGATTAGGAGAGAAGGAGGGAAAAAAAAAAAAAAAAAAAAAAAAAAAGAATGTACCTTTCGGGTTTCGTTTTGAGGTCGCAAAAGTCCGATTGCTTCTCTTTTTGTGACTTTTTTTTAAAAATTCACAGCGGAGGACCGGAGTCGGAGGGATGGGGATGGGGGGGGAGGCTCTTCCCTTCTTCCGTGCGAGAGTCCGCAAGTTTTTAAAAAGGCCGAGCTGCAGGTGGGGAGGGATGGGGAGGGATGATGGGGGGGGCGCCTTTCTTTCGCCGCCTCTTTCCGTCGTTCGGGTAGATTTTTTGGCGTTAAATTAAAAAAAAAAAAAAAAAAGATAACAAGGTTTTTCAAGGCGCTGTTGTTGTTGTTTACGGAGGGTGAGGTGTTGTTTGTTGTTGGGAGAGGGGGTTCGGGGGGGGGAGATGTGTGTTAACCCCTATAGCTTGTCGAGGCTTTTGGGATTGGTGAGGATTTCCCTGGCCAGCCTCCAGGTCTGTTTGGCAGCGCTTTCCAGGGCCGAGTGGGGTTTGCCCTGGAAGAGGTCTAGGTTGGGCAGGAAATAGTGGGGGCAGCGGCGGCACTGCAGGCAGGAGATGAGCTGCAGGAGGATGCCGTTCAGCCGGTCCCCCAAGCACGCCTCGTCCCAGTCGGTCTCCCGGGGGTGTTTCTCGCATTCGTAGAGCAGCAAGGTCTTCATGTGGTAGTTGTTGAGGGGTTGACCCGGTAGCTCCAAGTGCCGGTCCCTCAGGGTCTTCAGCACCGAGAGGCACTTGTTCCTGCAGCCCCCCATCAGCAGCCGGTTCTCGGCCTCCCCGAACTGCAGCACCCAGGCGTCGCTCTCGGCCGAGCTCTGCTTGCCCGTCAGCGAGTAGCACTCCTTGGAGAGGAGGTTGAAGCCCTCCGCCTTCACCTCGGCCACCCGGTTGGGACCGGGCCAGGGGATGTGCGGCATGGGCCACTGAGCCGCGCTGCGGGGCCAGATCCCCGTGCATTTGAAAGCCGGGGTGATCTGCACCACGTAACGCTCCCGGATGCGGAGCTTCACCTCGCTGGTGTCGGCGATCATCTTCACCACGTCCCGGTAGCTGCACTTATCCACGGCTTGGGCTACCAGGGTTTGGAAACGGGAGCGGATTTTGCGGGCGGAGAGGTAGCCCGAGGCGGTGATGAACTCCACCCAGAGGGACATGCTGCGTTTGCGGCCGTCGCTCAGCTTGAGGACGGCGCAGCCCGGCAGGGAGCCGTCGTCCACGAAGTTGAAGACCCCCATCTGGTTGAGGTAGAGCACCACCTCGAACTCGGTGGGCGAGATCACCTCCAGCCCTTCGTAACGGGCGTCGATCTCGCTGAGGGAGCTGATGAAACGCGGTTCCTGCACCTCCACCTCCTTCAGCACGTCCGACACGACCTTGCACACCTCCCGGATGGTCTTGGCGATGGCCGCCTTGCGCGCCTGGCAGCGCTCCGTGTAGTATTTGTTGAGCTGGTAAACCAGCTTGGCCTGGGCGGCGATCATGTTGGGGCACAGGTCCGGGCTGTACACCGGGCTCTCGCAGTACGTTGAGGGATCCAATGCTTTAGCGGTGGCTGCAGCTTTGCGGAGGGCACCGGCCAAATCGCAGACACCCCCTCCTCCTCCTCCTCCCACCACCACCACCCTCCTCTCCGGGAAGAAGGCGGTAGAGCGGCAATTAAATTAATTTAAAAAAAAAAAAATTAAAAAAAAGATATAATAAAAATGGGGCAGGACGCCGAAAAAGCACAAAGGAGCGAGGAAGAGGAGGAGGAGGAGTGCGGGCTGGTGGCGGAGCGGCGGGCAGCCCCCCGCGGGCTGCCGGAGAGCAAAGTTTTGGGTGGTTGCTGGTGGTGGATGATGATGATGATGATGGTGGTGGTGGTCAAAAAACAAACAACAGAAAGAAAACCAACAAAAACCAAACAAACTTCCCCAGGACTCGCGGAAAAAAAAAAGAAAAAAAATAATTAAAAATTATTAATAATAAAAAAATAGCGAAGTTTTAAACCCGCACACGGTGCGAGAAGAGGAGGAGGAGGAGGAGAAGAATGCGAGCAATGCCCAGAGCGGAAGAGTGAACTCTCTGTCTGTCTGTCTGTCTGTCTGCCTGCCCCTCTCTCTGTCTCTGGCTCGCAGTCGGTGGCAGCGGCGGGATGTGCGGGTCTGGCGGGGCTGTGCGGGTCCGGCCCCGCTCCGCGCTGTCAGGGGGTGTTGCTGATCTCCCTTTTCCTGCTGGAGGCGGCGGCGCGCAGCGTTACGCGCAGGCGGCTGCGCTGGCTCTGGGATCTCTCATTCCTGTCCTGCAGCTCTCTACAGACTGCTTTGAGATAGATGGAGATATAGAGATATAGAGATAGGTTGGTTGAGGTTGGTTTTTTTTTTTTTTTGGTTGGCTGGTTTTTTTTTTTTTGTTTTGTTTTTTGGGTTGTTTTTTTTTTTTTTTCTTTGCACAGACTGTGTGTTAATCCTGAGCGGGAAGGGAGGGCGTCGCTGCCTGTGCCCCGGGATGGCTTCTCCTCCCCCTCCCCACCCCTCAGAAGTGCGCGCCGAGGCTCTCACTTTCTGCGCCTCTCCTCCTCCTTCCTCCTCCTCCTCCTCTTCCTCCTCCTCTTCCTCCTCCTCCGCCGCCGTGTGCCGGTCTCTCCCCGCCGCTGCCCCTCTCTCTCTAGTTTATGAATGGGGCCG